GGGTGTGTTCAAGAGACATTCAACACTGTGCCACAAGTCAGGCTTTGTAGGAAGTGATTTGGCACAACTGCAGGCTGAAGGAAATGCTCTGAGTAGGTTGAGGGCAGGCTGGGTGGTTGTCATGGTCAGTAGATTAAGTGTATTAAGTGGATTTCAATTTATGTTTTTAATTTACAAAGGGTTTTGGGGGATGTGACACCATTATAAGTCAAAGAGCAGCTTTACATGTTGGTGAATATTTTAATATATATGTATCAGGACATATTTTTTGAGTTCAATTTTTTAAAAGTCTGATTTCTGCATTGATTTATGATTTCTATTGATTTTATATTACATTAATCACATTTTGATATTGATTTCTTTTGTCTTTTGTTGCTTTAAAATGATGTTTTAAAAAGATGGGCATTTAGTTAAACTATTTTTAGTCCCATACATTTTTGGTTTTTAAATTTTCAATAATGTAAATAAAGTTACATATTTTCCTGAGTGTAACTTTAATTAAGTGTCCCCTAGATTTTGGGATACTTACTACTGTTTAATATGTTTCTTTGATCACTACTAAGATTGTGCATTTTTTCATGTTTCAATACTATTGACCATTAATATTTGTCTTTCTATGAATTTTCTTATTCTTACTCCATTTTCCTATTTAGATATTTATCATTTTCTTGTTGATTTATTTATCAGTCGTCTACATTAAAAATATGTCAATATTTTTCATTTAATTTCATGTTGTTTTACTTTTCAGCAGAGAAATTTCATGTGTTTCTTTGTAGTTCGATGTACCAGTGCTTTGCATTTCCCTTTCTGATAACACTTTTATTTTAAGAGTACATAAATCATTATTTATATTTTCTTCTGATTTTTATTTTTTGTTGTTATTGTTATAGGCAGCTAAGTTAGATGAAAATATTATAGGTAGTCAGATAGTTCTAGGGCCTCAAAAAAGCCAGTGTAGAAGGCTAGATACCTTACAACTGTTGGAAAGACAGGCACCTCTACTGTGGGCAGATCTCAAGACAAATGGTAAAACAAATGCACCCACATCCTTCCTAAGGATAAACATCAGGGATTGATATTCTAAATAGGTATCAATCACCTTGAGAAAGCCTGGAAGAGCCACTGACCCAACCCCTACAGGAAGAGCCCCTGTTTTGTTTCATGCCTTCTTACTATGTGACTTGCTTCCCCATTTGATCCCAATTTAATCAACTTTACCTGAGCAATTATTCTTGTACTTTTATTGGTTTACCATAGTTTTGTCCCACTTCGTGCACACCTTGTGATTTCCCATTTTCCTCCACCTTGCACCTACCTTATTTAGTGGTTTTGCTCTATAAAAATCCCTAGAAAAGGGACAGTCCTCAGCAACCTACTTGGGACCCCTTCTATCTCTGTCTCTGGCAGAACCTTTCTTTCCCCAATAAATATATTCTGCTCTTAATCTCTGTTGTTGCTAAAATTCATTCTTTTTTCTGAGAACATGGAAGTGCACTAAGTTTCTACATTCGTCAAAGATTTACACCTTCTCACCCTCTCTCTGCTTTCTCAGGCTCTCCCTCTAACTGGGGCTAAGCATCCCAGGCTTGCTCAAACCCCCCTACTCATCTCCTCTCTTTTCAGCTTTGACCCTTCCCTCTGGTCCCAGAATGTATTTGTGCTGAGGTTACCATGGAGCCCTTTAGCCCTGGCCTGGCCCCACCACTTACTTACACCTGAAATGAAGTGTTAACAGAATTAAAAAATAAATATGCAGAAGGACTGGCAGAGAGGTCACTGTGCTCCACTTCAGATCAAAGGGCCTGGTGACATCTTCAAAACAGTTTATGCTGGTCAGCCCCACACTCAAGACTTCCAAGCAGGAATTAAGGATACTATTCATACCACTCTTTCAGTTTCCACTCCATTCACTCTACTTACTAAATACACAAAGACAGGGACATTTTCCTCAGTCAGATCCTTATAAAGTCCTCTCTGTGACAAAAAGGTGACTCAATTAGCATCAGAGAGCACCTAGGGAATCTTTCAGTAAGTGAAGGTAAAAAATATTAGTATTTGAAATGTGTCAGGTCAAGAGCCCCAGGTCCTACTGCAAGTCCATGGGAATCCAGCCCGAGGGTGGTTGCAGGCCATGTGATTGCTCTGGGTGCTATATATTTGACTGGACAGCCACTTAATAGCCACCAATCCTCCTGCAGTCACTATGCCTTGGAGAAGTAGGCATCACAGAAATAAGCACTGACCCTTATCTGACCACTCAGAAGTGACATGCACTGCAGGTCCATGCCCCTCTCCTTACAGAGGCCTGATAGTCACAGATAACTACAGTAGACAGTAATCTAGCATGTCTTTCTCTCCAAACAGCTTGGTGTTTGTATAAGCAGATGTCTGTCCTCTATGTTCCTGGTTAAAAGCTCTTAGAATCCATCCATTCATTCTACATGTGCATGTACACCACCTCTATTGTCAACTGCTGGAAGAAAATTCTACAGCTTACTTCTCTGTTTAGTCAGAGGCATGCAGGGCCGTAGGATCTACAAGAGCATGACCAGCTACTTCCATCTTTGTATCCAGTACCTAGACAGATATTTGACATCTAAATGAACAGTTTATTTCCCCTGATATGCAGTTTCTTTGCTCTAATACATACAATGTAGTTAACTTGAAAGGTCAAATACATCATTAAACTTGAATTAAGTTTATTTCATCTGGAAGGTAAGAGAGGTTGAGGATTCCCTGAACTTAGGCAATTCAGTTGTCAGTGCTACGCATCAAGGCAATTCAGAAGAAAAATAGGATTCTAGTACAAGAGCAAATATCAGAGGGCTCCTCACTGGCTGTTCATTGTGGGATGTGGGCTGATTTGGTGACAGGAGAGTTGAGAGGCAGAAGGAAACTTGAGAATATACTATTAAATGGAATAGGACAGTCCCATGCAATGCTTGAAGATTCCTTTTCCAGATACTCCCACAGTGTCACGTGGTACTCTGAGGGTCATCATACTCCCACCCCCAAACAGCATGAGAGTTACAGTGGGCCCTGATATGTTGGAGGAGTGGCCACTACTTCAGATCCTGATTGAGCTTTACTCATGTATTTTAGTACAGGACAGCCTCTGTGCTCAAAGGCTCACGTTAGGACTTGAACTTCTGCAATATTTGTTTCAATCCTCTCTTTAATCAGACTGTGTCTGCAGAGCCCAAATGCCCTTCCTGGTACATGATGCTGGTGGATTTGGATGTTCTTTTTAAGGGGTTGGGGTTTCAGTATCCCAGGCCTTCAACACTATTGGAAATTATTTTGTTCTTCACACTTTTTGACTACTCTTTTCTTCCCCTTTGAAAGAAACAGGCTTAGTATAAGCTTGGGGTGGATGGATAGTGGTCCTTGGAGAGTTTCACCCAAGACTACCATGACTTTCAGCCGGTCCCAGTGGCCATACTGTGCTATGGAGTACTATGCCCCAAAGCTCAGGTGATTGGACCAGGGCTGAACCCTTACCCAGAAGTTTCCGCAGGAGTTTCAAATTGACAGCAAGTGAGAGATCCTCATTTCTGTGCAATATCTGATATCTCGCCATCCCTGGACAGAGGAGACACAGGAAGCAGAGAAGGCCAATGTGCAAAGGAGGAAAAGAAGCACAGAAGGACCTGGAAGCTGAGGAGATGGCATGGTTTTGCTTATGCTCCCCTAGTACTTCTTGAGGTCACTCATTTTTTTTGAGCTCGTTCAGGACCATCTATTTATAGAAAAATGCTTTACCTTTGGCTAAAAATGCGGCCAGTTGTTTGCTCTAACTTGCAATAAAAAGAGGCTTCTTGAGTGTCCCCAAGTCTCCATACCTTGGAATTGTTTGCCCATTATTGCACCACAGATTTGTATTTCAGAAAGTGCCAGGAAGTAGGGACTTTTCCAGTAAAAGCAGAAAGATCTTAGCAGAGATCCTAGCTGCATGTGGCCTGGAAGTGTGGCTTTTGTTTCTGGACATTTTACTTGGCTTCAGGACTTCTGGGAAGAGGGGTAGGGTTTAGAGGCCTCCTCTGGAAAGAACAATCCCCTTGGTCTCTGTGAACAAAGGAGAGAGTGGTTTCCTGTCTCAGGAAAGTCCTTTTTGCAGGCTTTTGGTTTATCCAGGTGCCATTCCTGTTCTTCAATGCAGATGCCATTTAAGTAATTTTTTGCAATGCTGTATCAATAAAATAAACCAAATATTCAGGAGTCTTTGGTCAATATATTTACAGGCCCAAAGCACAAGCTTTGGGGTCTGAAAGGCCTCTTCATGACCCAGTTCTAACTCTGCCATTCACTGTGTCCCTGGACAAATCCCCTCCCCTCTGTGTGTGTTAGTTTCAATATTTGGAAAATGAGGAGGATGATTTAGCTAGATTATCGATGAGGCAGAGTGGGAAAGAAGTTTCCTGGAACTGTCAGGCAAAAGAAGGGTTAAGGTGACTTGAGCCTGGCCAGACACCCCCTGCTCCTAAGTTCCCTAAGGGGCTTTAGCACTGTGAGCTGACGCCTCTCCCATTGACAGGGCTGCAGAGATGTTGGGCAGAGGGTGAACAGGAGCACTGTGTGCAGCTTCCTGGGCTTAGAGAGAACAGCCACAGATGCCTCCAGCTCTGGGGCTCCAGCCTACAAGGAGAGAAGTTTGGGATTTAGAGAGGGTCCCGAACATGGATTTACACGCAGCAGCTGTCAGCTTGCAGATGGAATGTGATGCTGAGGGAGGGGCCAGATGCACTCATCCTGTAGTGAGCATAAGGGCAGAAGAGAGCCCAGAGCTGCGCCTTGGCGCTCCCCCATCCAGCAGTCAAGGAGAGCAATGAGAATGAGCAGGGGACTGGTAAGGAGCAGCCAGAGGATGAAAATCAAGGCAGGCAGCAGTGGTGTACCCGAAAGCCCAGAGGAGGGAGAGTCTGGAAGGCGAGGGGGAGGCCAGCTGAGTCCTATGCAGCTGAGAGTTAGTGAAGGAGGAGGACCGGAAAAGAGTCACTGGATTTTGTGTTGAGGTAGAGGAAACTGACTTTTATTTCTTGCAACTGGGAGAACAGAAGCCCTTCTCTGCTGGGCTTCATTGTGGGAAGGCGTCTTGCATTTTCCTCTGAGAGGCATCTACCTGCGGTATTCTTTTTGGCTGCTTTGGGCTGGCATAGATCACCTTTTTATTGGGATGGTGGCACCCCGCCCCCGGAGGGGCTCAGAACTCGCAGACCACTAGGCGATGCTCTCCACAAGCCTTGTCATTCCACTTGCCGTTGGTGAATATCTCCACGCAGTTCTCTGCCCCACCATTGTTGTTGGGCTCCCCAGGGGCCCAGTTGGAGTAGACCAGGGGCTCCCCTGAGGGGTAGACAAACGTGCCCTCCTTCTTGCTGTCTGTCATGCTCAGGAAAGCAGCCTTATTCTGAGCTGTGACCAGCTCCTGCAAAGCAGCATTCTCTGCTGCAGAGCGTGGGGAGGCTGTCTGTCCACCAGCCTGACTGCATATCTTCTGTGCCCCTTCAAAACTTTTTTCAGCACCCATTGTCTTGAAAATCTTGTCCCCAACACTTCGGCCATTGGGGAAGAGCATGGCTGGAAGAAGGAGAGTCAGGTTAAGGCTGGTCAGAGTTCAGGGGTCTGAGATTCACATGCTGTGTTCCTAGCCTTCCTCGGCAGGGTGTCAGGACACCAGAAAGGATGTAAACAAGATATGGATCCAGAGAAGCCCCAACACCATGATGCTCCCTGGGAGAGGGTGCCATGGTCCGCTGTCCACAGAGGACAGCATGACAAGGCAGAGAAATTAAGTAAGAGGCCCAAAGCCACAAAACCAAATGCACAGCTAAGGAGGACACCTTGTCCAATCTGACCCCAAAGCTCAGAAATGCTGTTTTTGTGTCAGCCCATATTGTGTGCTGGAATTGATTTTTCAGTTACTATGTAGAATTGAACAGTTTTTCCCAGGGAAATGTTTCCTGGTCTGCACCCATTTCTGAGAGAACCAAAAACACAGTGCAGAGACTCCTTTTTCACCCCTGTTACTATAGTGTTAGACTGCCAGAGGGTCTGTGCTGGGTGATGGGGAGACGTATATATGTACATTCAAGCCCATGTATGCAGACGGATGTGGAGTGAATGGTGATATGTAAGTGCACACATGTGTTGCAGGTACACATGTGCACATTTTTGTGTTTGCATCAGTGAGCCTATGCAAATGAAGGCATCTGTGAATATGTTTGTGGAGGGAAGGAGAAATGCCAAAGGACTGAAACTAATCTCTGAGTTTGGGTATCTAGAAACCAACCCTAGTCTTACCCAAATGAGCCCCTTCACACTTTACTTAGTCAGAAAACTTCTTTTTCTCGTTCAGAAAGACATGGAGTCAAAACTGGTGTCAAGAAGAGCATAAGAGGAGAGGCAGCTGGGAACTGAAGTGGATTCAAAAGTCACAGAGAACCAAAGGGTGTAGTCCTGGATGCCTTGGACACCCAGGATTGCACAGTGAGAGCAGGATCTCTGCTCCACATGCCTTGGAGCTGCAGGCAGCACCAGCCCAACTGGAACCCAGAGCCAGCACAGTCTCCACTTGGCTCAGAAGCACCTGGAAGGGAGATGCTTTCTGGCCACACACCACGGCCAGGCCCACCTGCCTTGTCCCCTACAGCAACACTTGGATTCGGTGCTTCCTTGGGCTACCGTGTTATCTCTGGTCCTCCTACAACTGGACCCTACGAGTACAAAACACTGCCCTGGGTGTCCTCTTGTCCAGCACAGGGTAGGCAAGAGGGCAGGAGGGCACAAGGCACCCGTGAGCATGGGTGGCACAAGGCTAGAGAGTGCTCAGAGCTTGGTAGCTTTGAGAGTCTTTTTGCCAGCCTGGTGAGCTGCTGACCGGGCCACACCTGCTTATCTGTCCCAGGATCTACTTCTAGCTCCTGGGGAAAGAAGCCTCCCTGCTCCAGTCCAGGCTCCACTCCATCCCCAGCCCCAGTTCCAGCTCCAGGTATGTCCCTGTTCACCCCCCTCTGCTCTGAGACCCAGGGTGAGCCAAACCTCAGGCTCAGCCAAACCTCTCACCCCAGCTCAACCTTACCCCAAGGCCCAGGTCAGTTTGTGGTCTGACCCTGATGCCAGGCCAATTCTTGGGTCCAGGAGCTCACCTTTCTTGTAGTGAGAGAAGGCAGCCTGGAGGTTCTGTAACTGGCCCTGCAAGGCCCCCACCTGCTGCTTTAGAGAAGCAATGTCTGAAGAGAAGGGAAACACTGGGTGAAGGCTTGTCCAGCACAGTCCAGGAACGATCCAGAGCCTGGGCCTCAGGAAACGGTGTCCAGTTGCAGGTGTAAAGTGGGGATCGAGGTAGGGAGTTGGGCTGACCCCCAGCAAGGCCACATCTGTTAACTCAGCGGGCCTCTGTATGCAGGGATTTCTTAGAGTTCTGCTATGGACAAACTGGGTCCTGAGCCTCACTGATACAACCCAGATGCCACTGTCAGTCTGAATTCTGGGAGTATAATAATGTCATCTCCCTCCATGCGTGTGGGGTAAGAATATACATTCCTCAAATACTTTCCATCCATTGGCACACTGGGTGCTGGGGAAGGCTGCTGCTGCTTTTTCAGGTCAGTTGAAGGAACTGCCTGGATTTGCCATCTTGCCTGCACTGATAGCAGAGACCAAAACCGGATTTTGCCCTGCAGCCCCCCAGCCCATCCCAGAGGAGGGGAGTCCTGAGCCAAAGAGGGCCTCTCTCCTTATGCCATTTCCAAGTGCAGTTCAGAGCCAGGAGTGACCACCTACCTGGAAGCCCACTTTCACCCTTGTCTCCTTTGTCTCCAGGAGCACCTCTGTCGCCCTTCAGTCCTGGGGGTCCCCTGGCACCCAGAGGTCCCTGTGGACCCACAGCTCCAGCAGGCCCTGGGATCCAAGAAGAGCAGGATAAGCGGGCAACCATTTAACAGCGTTTTTACCTCCTCTGTACACATCCCCTCCTCATCATCCAGCAGTCCATCCTCCCTACACACGGAGCCCCAGAACACAGCAGCCCACCTCCTCTGTGCACAGCTGGCCCTGTCTCCAGGAACTGACTTCCCTGCACACACACTAACACTGCCCTCTCCCAACAGATGATTTCCAGAGCCCAGAGCTGCATCCTCCTTGGATACAGACTCTTAGGATTTATATCTAGATGCCCTGGAGAGCCTTATGCACTCAGGGTGGGGTTTCCGGAAGTGATTGGATTATGGGGCTTACAGCTTTCATGCTGTTAGGAGGTGAGGTCTGGTTAGAAGAGGTGGGTCACTCAGCACATGGATTTGGAAGGGTTTATTTCCCTACAGCTCCTGCTCCTCCCTTTACTTCCTGTTTTCTGGATGCTATACCATTAGCATCTTTTCCCCTGCCATGCCCCCTCTGCCATGCTATCCTGCCTTGGAGTCAGCCAACTATGGACTGAAACTTCTACAAATTGTAAGCCAAAATAAACCATTCCTCCTTTGAGTTGTGGGTGTCAGTATTGTCTACCAGTGACAAGAAAAATGACTGAGGCCCTAGTGAACTGGCAATGTCAGTTCTGTCCTCATATGGTGGGGTGGAAGGATCCAAGTGGGCCTGAAAAATGGATCCAGCCCCAGATCCTCCCATCACTCACCTGCTGCCCCAGGATTTCCAGAGGGCCCGAGTTCACCAGGGGCACCTCTCTCCCCTTTAGGGCCTGTGGGGCCTCTTGCTCCTGCAGAGCCCTGCGTGCCGGGGGCACCTGTTTCTCCTGAGAAAAAAACAAATAGGGACGAATGATGCTAAGAGTGTTTTCAGCAAGTGTCATCTCCCCTGCAGTAGAGCTTTTAACCCATACTCCAGAGTCAGAGAGGGAAACTGGCCAATGCTCCTTACTGCTTGAGGTTCCTCTGTGGAGGGAAGGAGTAAGATAGGCTGCCAGCAGAGATGTGGGAAGGAGTGCATGGAAAAGCCTTTCCCTTATTGATAGTCTGGGCTCCTGACATTCTGAGCATGCCTCATGTCACATCATAAATCACACTGTCATTCCTTCCTCCTTTCTCCTTCCAAGATCAGCCACAACCCATTCACCTACCTTTGGGCCCAGCCTCTCCTTTGGGGCCTGGTTTGCCTTGAGGGCCTATGTTCCCCTGCTTTCCAGGGGGACCATCTTTTCCTGCAGGACCAGGCACACCTGGAAGTCCTGGAGGTCCTGGAGAAAAAGATCAGCTTAGTCAGTGACACTGAGCCCTCTTGGCAGAGGGGATGCCTGGAATGAGAGTAATAGTGGAGGTCAAAGAGGCATCCATGGCAGGCCAAGTCTGTCCTGAGATAACTTAGAGCTGCCTTCAGAACATCTGTTTTCCTTCTTCCTGGGATGGCCCCTGTGCAAGGCTACCAGCTTAGCCTACTGGCAGAAGCACCACTTGGAGACAGCTGAATTCTATGTCCCATTGCTTACCAATTGGTCCAGAATCGCCCTTTGGTCCAGGCTCTCCAGCAGAGCCATTGTCCCCTTTGGGCCCAACTAGGCCAGCTTGTCCAGGCATCCCTGCTGGCCCTACAGCTCCTGGAAGGCCTAGAGCAGAAAAAGAAATGGTCTGAGGCTCAGCAGGGAGCTAGATGCCTTCAGGGTCAATCTCTGGTATTCCTTTAGTGTTCTGAAGATACACACTTCCACAGGCACACACCCTGGTCCAGTGGTGAGCTAGGAAGCAGATGTCTTCATCCTCATTTTGAAGAAAGAGCCTTTCCAGAGATGCATTCTTTCCCCTGACAAGAAAGCGATTTAACAACATTTACCTTTGTCCATGGAGTTCTTCCTTTATATATGTATTATACAAACATATGGAAAATTGATAGCTATACCAGAAATGGAACCAAACAGATGTTGATTCAGTTATTTGCCCGTTTAAACATTTATTTGTTCATGAAGAACCCTAAAAGCACAGAAAACAAAAGTAAAAATTGACAAATGGGATGACATAAAATGAAAAAGCTGCATAGTAAAGGAAACCATTAGCAGAGTGAAGAGGCAACCTATAGAATGACAGAATGTACCCACCAGCTCCTCATCTGCCAGAGGTCTAGTATCCAGAATCTGCATGGAATTCAAAATACTTAAGAACAAGAAAACATGGAGTCCAATTTTAAAAAAGGCAAATAGTTTAAATAAACACTTCTCCAAAAACATACAAATAATCAACAAATATGAAAAAAGTGCTCTATGTCATTAGCCACCAAGTAACAACATCAAAACCTCAATGAGATTATATTTCTTCTAATTTTATCAAAACAAAACAAAAATAACAAGTGTTATTGAGAATGTGGAGAAAAAAGAACTCTCTTTCACTGTTTTTTGGAATGTAAGTTAGTAAAGCCATTATGGAGAATGGTACAAACAGTCTTCAAAAAACCTAAAAATAGATTTACTGTATAATTCAGCTAACCCATTTCTAGGTGTATATCATCAAAGAAATGAAATTAGTATACCAAAGACATACCTGCACCTCCATATGTATTGCAGCACTATTCATGGAAGCTAAGATATAGAATCAGCTTAGTGCCTATCAAAAGATAAATGGATAAAGAAAATGTGGTGTATATATACTATAAGTACTATTGAGCCTGTGTTATGCAGCTAAACAGATGGAATTAGGGCATAATATGTTAGGCAAAATAAACCAGATGCAGAAAGATAAATACCATGTTCTCTTTCGTATGTGGGAGTTAATAAATGTTGACCTAAATGTATAATAGAGATTATTAAAGATTAGGAAGGGTGTGTGTGGGGTGAAGACAAGTTGGATTTGATCAACTCTCTAGTGCACACTATGCACATGTCTGGAAATATCACACTGAATCCCATTAATATACAATTAATACGTACTAATCAAAACTGAAAAATCCATCTATGCACATTTATTTTATGATTAGCACTGGGCTGGATGTGACTACTAGGCTCCAGCCCTGGCCTGTAAAAGATTTATAGTACACTGTGAAATAGGGCAGCAGGTATGACAGACAATGTGGGAGAAGTTTTCCATCTCATCATGGCTCCCCTGGCCCCACACACATGCACATCCTCAGAGTAGTCCTCTCTAAATCACTTTGGAGAGAAGACAGGGAGTCTTCCAAACTTGGAAACTATGTCACTGTAGCTGGAGAGGACAAACCTTCTTGGGGCCAGAGTTTGGCTGGGATGTGGTTGACTGAGTTTGCTGGGTAGATGGGAGATTCTGTGTTGGGCACTGTGCTCTAGTGTTGGTTGCGGTCCCTCATAGGTGGGGAATGGAAGTAGAGGTTGACAGGTCCATGCCTGACATCCAGCTGTGCACAGGGCTGAGGGCAGAGATGGCCAGACTCAGGCTCAGCATCTCTAGGGTTCCACCATGGCCAGGTTGACAGCAGCATAGTGGGATGCAGGAAAACAGCCACTCTGAACAAGAGATGGCTAGAGGCCATCAGTTCTTGGTGCATGAACTCTGGTGGCCATGAGAGTTCCCAGGTGCAGGAAGGTCTCCCACCTCAACATTAGTGTCTTGTGACTGTTAATCCTGATTAAGAAATACTTAGCAAATTAATAAGGCGCACTCCTGGGTGTGTGGAGGTGGGTCATGGTGGCATGGCCTCAGGTGCTATTTCTATTCCCTCCTCTCTGGCACTGCTCCTCTGCTGTGCTTCCAGACTGCCATGAATTTAGCATGTTTCCTCCACCCTGCCATTTCACTATGATGTTTCTGCCTTGGAGCCAGCTGACCATGTTCTGAATCCCTTAAAATCGAATCAAATTAAAACTTTTCCCTTTTAAGTAGATGTTGGGCACTATGTTCCATCAACATGAAAACTGATTAATACACTGCCTAAAGCACTAATTTCCCATCCTAGGAATCCCCAGTGACTTAGCCCTGTGCCTTAGTGCCACCTGAGCTGAAACATTGTGGTGTGGCACTTTGGTCAGCCTTGAAATTCCTCTTCCCTTCAATTTTGCATTCATGCACCCATTCCTCAAATATTTATTGAGCTTCTACCACATACTAGACACTGTCCTAAATGTTGGTGTGGCAGTGACCAAAACAGACAAAAAAATGATTCTTTTATCATGGAACTTCAATCCTATAGCAAAAAAGCAGATAATCAAAAATTAAAAGGTATGACACATGGCATGTTATAGCAAATGCTACAGAGATCAAATAACACAAAGGGAGTATTGGAGACAGTGGTATCTGTTATAAGTAGGATAGTTGGGGAACCCTTCATTTGGAAGGTGGTCATTTTGGCTTTGGGGAAGAATCAGAAGTTGCATGGTGCCAAATCTGGTGAATAAGGTGGATGAAGATGCACCATAAGGTTTTGTTTGTTTGGTTGGTTTTTCACAAGACTGTTTTGCTGGAAAGCATTTAGCAGCAGTATTCACCAGTTTTGATCAGTCTCATAAAGACACTAATGAAATAAAGTGTCCAACAAAAGTGCACAACAAAAGGTGGACAGTGAACCTTCCCAGTGGAAAGAATATCTATGAGGAGAGCAAATGACAGGACCCAGGAGAGAAAGGTTATGTGTGTTTAAGGACCAGTGGGGCTGAGTCAAGTGGGTGTGGGAAGTGTTGAGGGCAGAGAAGCAAGCAGGGATCAAGAGTGGTCATGAGACGCCTTGCAGGATGTTGTGAGATGTGGGTTTGTCTGAGGGAGATGAGCACCCTTAGAGGAACTCTCAGTGAATCTCTCTGGGCAGGAATGATGGAGGTGTTGAGGGATAAGGGAGCTGTTACTGCCAAGCAGGGTCTGGGCTTTACTTATTCTCCATGATGCATCTGTCACCTCCCTGAGGGACCCCAATTCCACCTTCCAGCCTTGCTCAAGGACCTTTCTTCTTATGCCCTATTCAACAATTTTTGGGGCCTGCAGGCTTCAAAATCTACAGAGGAAGTTGTTACAAATGCAGACTTTGGGGTCACACAGACCTACTTGGTTCAGTATTCTAAGGATGCTCCAAGCTCTCAAGGATGTTCTCAGACACATAATGGCAAGTGATTAGCATGACCGGAAGTGACAGCCAGAGTGGAGCCATACTCCCTGCCCAAATGTATACTCTCCTCTGTCCAGAAAGCAACCCAAAGCCGGGGTTTGATTGAGTGGAGTAAGGTACCTGCACAGCAAGGGGAGGTCTCTCCCAAACTCCTTGCAGCAAGCTCAAACCTCCCCTCCACCCAGCATTCAATCCACCGCCCTCTCTGGGAGCCAGAGAGAACTGGGAATCTTAGAGAGGGCTGGCTAACTGAGTCCCATCCTTCTGAGTTCATCCTGGGCAGCCATTTCCAAGTCCAGCTCATTCACATTGCGAGCTCTTTTGATCCATGCAGGAAAAACAAATACCTTTCTCTTGCCCCACAAAGCCTTATTCTTTCTTTCTTAAGTGTCACTAGTTTCCTTCCTCCCCACCCAAAACAAAAACTCCAAAAAGATAAAGACTATTTGATTTCTTCAAACCAGGACCACGTGGTCCCTTGGTTCACTGAATTTTCCTATAAAACTAGTAAGACCTGGATCCTCTCCCAGGGTGAGCATAGTATTTCCAGGGACAATTCTCTTATTGTTTTTTGTTTGTTTTGCAGTGTTGCAAAAAAAATTGAATCAACAGGAGGCAAGAGATCTGGAGAAGAAAGGAATTTTTATTGATGCGAGCAGACCCCAGAGGACTAATCTCCAAAGTCTGGGGTGTTGATTACAGAGAGCTTGTCTTATTTATAGGGTGGTAAACAGAAGTTACAAGAAATGAGATAGGCTTTCACTGCAAGTTATCGTAGAATGTACAGTAAGAATAGTTGTATGTAGTAAAGTTGTTTTTAGCACATTCACAGAAGTTGCAATTTGATGACAAATTGTGTGATTTAGCTGAGTTCAGTGGCAGAGAACAGAATGACTACAGTGTTATTTAACAAAATGGCTGCATTAAGGTCAGGATTTCTGCTCCAGCAGTACTAGGGATTACACTCAGGGTCTAGCATATGACAGGCAGGCACTCTATCACTGAGCTATACCCTCACCCTCAAACCCCCCTTTTTAGATAGGGTCTTGCTCAATTGCCCAGGCTGGCCTCAAACTTGTAATTCTCCTCCCTGCCAGACCAGGGCCCCAAAGGGACATCCAATGTAGTAATTTATTCACTATTTATCCTTTCTTGGGTTCAGGGAAACCCAGGAACCCCAGGGATGTGTCAGGTTGGTTAGGCGACTAGGGAGAAGCATATTGGGAGTTCAAGGTGGACATATGAGGTGTCATCAAAATATATGTTAATGTTTAAATTAAAAATTTATGACAGTAAAAGACACATTGCTGCTAATCACCATCAAAATACCTTCTCACTCGAGACACACTTATTCCATTGTTCTATCCCCAAAGTCCCCTTTTGTGAGTGTCCTTACCAAGAGTGACCAAAAAATAGTGACTATTGTTGCCGAGTGCTGTCCAACAGAGGAGCAATCATCCACCATATTCACTAGCGCTGGCACCATGCAACTTCTGGCTCTTTCCCACAGTCAAAATGACCAGGAGAGAGAAATGTTTTATATAGATTCAGGATGTCAAGGCAGCCGTTATAGCACAACTAAAGACATTCACGAAAGTGATCTTCTAAAACGGTTTCAGAAAGAGACAAGAATGGTGGTAAGTGTGCTTGAAGCAAGAGGAAGTATTCTGTGGAGGATTAATTGCAGTATGACTTTAACTGTAATAAATTAAAACAATTCTTGTACACATTCACCATGTGTTTCTATCATATCTTATGCACTTGCCAGCTGGTGGAGGAGTGTTTTTGGTGGAATGAACAGCGGAAAGAAACTCACTCCCTTGGAGGAAAAGAAGCCTATCACCAAGTCTCCCATCACAGAATACCCAGATGCAGGTTGCTTATCATCCAAGGTCCCTTCCCCACTAGATAAATCCCTGGTCCCCACTTTACCTGGATAGCCCTTCTCGCCACGGGGGCCCTCTCTCCCATCCCGGCCATCACGGCCAGGCAAGCCATTCTCTGCGGGGCTGCATATGACCAGAGTGCAGGCATTTGCCAGTGTTCTAGGCTGGTAGCTCTTCATTCCAGCTCCCAGGTGCCCCTGGGGCTGTGTGAGCAGAAACAGCATGGAAAGAAGGGGAAGCAGCATGGCCTGGGGAGATGGTAGAAAGAGAAAAGTTATACTGCTGTTCTAGGAAACAGGGTAGGGCTTGACTTAGCTTGTTTTTATCAGTAGTCTCCCTCTCTACCTCCTTCTTCCTGCTGCGGGGCTCAGAGGAGCAAGAGTCCAAGGGCAATTGAGGGAAGTGGGTGGATGGTTTGGTCTTGGAGAGTATGAGTTCTTCTCCTTGAACTATGATGTGAGTGCCTGGGCACAGCAGCGCCTATCTGTCCTCAGAGGCCCATGGCAACTGTGGCTGTGATGAAGTGTTCTCACTAAGGCCACCTGTCACATCAGGAGGGATTCACTTAGCACCTCTGGGAAAGATCCTTTCCCTTTCTGGGCCTCCTTCTCCCTGCCTGTGCCATTGAGGCAGTTGGCTCAGCTAAGACCAAGCAAATGTGTTTCCTCTTCCTTGCTGCCATGAGTAGGTTAGCACTGGAGTCTACATGCTGGTCTAAAAGTAAGCCTAAGTCCTGACTGCCTTATAATGTCTGTCCCCAGTGCAAGCTAGGAGTGTGGCTGCTTGTATGCCAAGCAATTTATCATTCCTGGACCAGGCACTGAGTCCACAGAGAAATTAACAGACTGAACTCAGGTGAGAAGTTTCAGAGATACTACATTAGCAGCTGGAGGGGGCAGAGACACCTAGAGATCTGCCCAGACCATGTGAGAGGGAATAGAGGAGCAGTTCATGGGGGAAGAGGACATGCTAGGTGGGTGGGGTCACATGGAAGGATGGTTTTGGGGGTAATAAAGAAAAACTATCCATATGACACCCAGGGCAGGATGGTGAGGAGCTGGGTCAGCTCTACATTGCACATCTTGTTAGACTCATGACTGTGACAAGCACCTGAGATAAACCAACTTAAAGAAGGAAATGTTTATTTTGGTTCATAGTTTCAGAGGTTTCAGTCCATGGTTACCTGGGCCAGCAAAAGCACATGGCAGGGGAGGCCTCTCATCGCTTATCATCCAGGAAGCAAAGAGAGAGAAGAGAGGCTGGTGTTCTAATATCCCCTTCAAGTGCATGACCCCAAAGATCCAACTTCCTTCCACTAGGCTACCTCTGTTGAAGGTTGCACCACTTCCCAATAACACCAGGCTGAGGACAAAGCCATTAACACATGGGCCTTGAGGACATTTCAGATCCCCACCATCTTTCAGAGAAAGAAACAAATTATGAGACTAGAAAGAGCCAGTTGGAGCCACTGAGACACTGAAACCAGAGGGTCCTATGGAAAAATAAAGCAGGTCAGCAGGCTCACTGGGGTGGTAGAGGACAGGGGCTGCTGACCAGAGAAATGCCTCCTTCCCAAGCTGCTAGCTATTCTGAGCTGTGGGAATCACTTATTTTTCACTAACCTTTTTCAGTATTGAATTCACAACTTCCTTGGATATCCCGAGTCTTTAGAAATACCCAGGTGAGCTCAGAGGCCAGTTGTAGCTCTTCCATTGCCCTCATACTGGCAGACTTAGTCCTGAGCACTGAAGGCCAGGCCCATGCCAAAGTAAGGCTGCTGTCCCTTTGTCTGCAGCTGGCTCAACTCTGGGTACCTTTGATTTTGGGGATTATGAAAAATCATAGGACTTTTTGCCCACAAACTCAAACTGTACAAAAGGCATTGCCATCCATGCCTTAGCTTTCAGAGGAAGAGTTTATCTAAAAAGCAACTGTTCTGAATATGGATTGGAAATTCAGAGACCCAATCCAGTGAGCACATTTTACAAGTAGAGACTTCAGGCTATGAGAGAAGTAGGTTTATCCATGTTTCACAGGTGGCTGGTACCAGGATGAGTTTAGAACTCAGATCTGATAATGCCTGGTCTGATCTCCTCCACTACCCTTGTTTCTGAAGAAATCAAGCACAGAATAGGTGCAAAGACAGAAACTGAAGATGTGTTTACACCTAGTACTTCCACACAATGGCATCTGGGGTTTTAAGAGTGTCACAACATACTTATCCACTCTACCCCAACTCAGCAAGCAAATCTGAACCACAGAATCTGAATGCAGGGCAGAAGAGGATCTTCTTATCCTACACTGACTCCTACCTCCCAAACCCACAACTCCTGCACCACAGTCTCAATCCAGAACCTATGCTTCCTCAAAATGAGTAGGATAAACAACTCCGATAGCAGGCGACATTCACAGAACAGAGGGAAAATAGAAGATGCATAGAGACACTCACAGGTTGCTTCCTCTAGGGTCTCAGGAGCTCCCAGCAAATGAATCTTCCCTTAGCAGGCCCTGAATATTTATTCCTGCCCTGTAACCTGAGCCACCCATCCCCAGTTTCCTGAGAACTCCCTTGAAGAAGTGGAGCAATTTCTTCCTTATTGACTCACTCTTACCCCACCTGCCTACTGAATAACTGCCACTGTTATATGTGGTTACTGGTCACATTATGCTTACCTGTCACCTTAGAGTTCATAAACACTCTCCTTCTGTGGCTGCATCTGTACCTTCCCTGCAGCCCTGTGAGTTAGGCAGCATTACCAGCATCTGTGTTTTTTAAATGTCTAGGGATCTGGGTCTAGAGATCAGGACATTGCACAATGGCCTATGATTGCAAAAACAACTCATGCCTGCCTATCTCAAGAGCTAGAACCCTACTGTGTCCACTTGTTTTTTCTTCTCATTGCAAGAGCAACTGCCAAGATATTGTGAAAGAGCTGCTTGGTTTATCCAGATAGGGGTGGGCAGGTTAAGGGACAGCAGGGGCAGCAACTGGTGGGGGTAGTGGTTAGGGGAGCAACCTTGGTAAGGAGCCATTCGTCTATATCCTGCTCTAGGATTCTGAGAGCTCTCACTTGCCTTTTGTGAATCAGGCTTCTTGCAGGCCTCAGCTTTGCTTGTCCAGGCCTCATCTCTCCATCTTCTTAGCTGGTATCTGCCTCCCTCGTTAGCCTAGTTAGAATCCCTGAGCTCTTGCTGCTCTGCTAATACCACTGTCCAGGCAACCCTTTAATTTTCAGTGCCCATAAGGCACCTGTCCATCCCACTGTAATTGCTATCAGCTTTGGTGGTTCTAGATTCTTGTGATTTCCTGCTGCTTCTAGATTCTTTGCCTAGCTCCACATCCCAGAAAATCCATATTTCCAACCCATCTCTTGGGCTACCCCATTGGTGGTGTTGACTTGCTTCTAGTTTTTGATATTGCACATGACATCTTGCATATAATAGAACCTATAATGCCCAATCTCCCCATTTGTCAGGGTAAGGTCTGCTTTTCCTATTGCAATTTTTTGAAACAGGATTTCACAGCAAAACCACTTGTACTTCTGTTAATAGAGCTATTTTATTATTAACACATAGCTATCCTCATCCTAGGCTATTCATATGTCTCCTTGAGCTATGGATCAGCATGGTGGGTGCCTTGAACTATCGCTCACTCTCCCCACTAGTTTTCAAATCCTATCCTCGTGGCTGGTCTCACCTTTCTAACTTATGGTGACTTATTTCAGGAACCTTCTACTTTGTTTCTCTCCTTAATCAGGCATCTTTCACCCATCTCCTCTTAGCTTGTGAAATAGGTTCTTTTTTATTTTTAAAGATAAAGAATGGAAACATATTGATGAACAGACATAAACAAACCAGCATTCAAACAATAGAAGCAATACAGAGAAGGTGATAGAAAATTAACAATAGATATTGTATTACATATTGTTATCTTCATATTGGTTGCTCAGTTAAACAAATATAGGCATTTAAGGTTGATCAAAAAATTAAACAGTTACTGAGCCTTTCAATAAAGCAATAGAAGTTGGTAGTATGACTCTCTCAGTTGCCCTGTGTGTGTGTGTGTGTGCATGTGTGTGTGTGTGTGTGTGTGTGTGTGTATACACATGCAAGAAATAGGTTCTTGTAATGTTCTAGTATGACAGAGAATTGCCTCCCCAGAGAAATAACATGGGTCCATTCCCACCAATTTACTTCAGTTTCTGTTTACTCAGTTAAGTTTCTGTTTCCCAGAAAAGGCTGAACTTATGTGACATGTTGTAAAAATCAAGGCCCAAATAGCAAGCTGCTTTGCTTCTGTTCTTCTACTTCACAATCTCATAAAAACCTGGATCCCCAAGCTGTGGGGACCTGACTTCTTTGGGAACAATTTCAGTGATGTCCACTGGTGTAATAAGGCTGATTCTTGCCTCCAAACCTTGGTGATGCTCAGTGTGTGGTCACAGCATTGCTTTTAAACAGGAACCCTATTATAAAACAGATTATGATGTATTTTTGTTCTTCCTTCACACTCTAGCAGATTCTAGTTTTATTTCTGATCGACTTATTCACTAATAGTGATGACTACTGTTTTCCTTGGTTACACATGTACAGATGAGAAGAAAGTCTCTGAATAGCAGTCACAGTGGCCATCTTCCAGGGTCTCTGAACCACTCTCTTCCCAAGACAAGGCTTAGGATGACCACAGAGTTGCTTTGGTAGCCAGTCATTGACACTGTACATAGCCTCATCAATATTTGCTATCTCTGGTGGATGTTATTAACTGCACTTTTGTCTGAGCTAACAATGGTCTGTGACACTTGGCTTCCCACACCCACTGGTGAAATCTTGGATCAATGTGCTCAGTATGTGCTCTGTCACTGCTGAGCCACAAGGAAGCTTCACACACCAGCAGGCATTCTGGATAAGCACTCTCCATCCTAGCCTGACTTGTTTTTGCTTGCTGTTGGTTTGTGGCTCCACACTCTTGGCCTTGACTTCCGTTCTTGCCTCTGGGTACCACAGTATTAGGATTCCTACTTGCTTGATTTTTTTATTTCTGGTCTGATACCTTCATCTGGCCTTTAAGCTTCTCTGACTTTCTTAGAGAAATTCTGGTCTCCATTCATAGTCTGAACAATAGACCTGAAATCTAGTCCATTTTTTGGCCAATTTTGAAGGAAACCATTACACCTTCCCTGCATGTTTAATGACTCGGAAAGAAAATGGAATATGATGTCTGGCACAGTGGAAACTTGCCTAGTCTGTTTCCTTAAGATGACCTTCTTGTTCTGAAATCAACAACTCTGTTAACAGTAATCCACTGAGTTTCACTTTCCTTTAAATTCCACTGAACTGAGTATTTGAAATATCAATTTTTTATCCCCTTTCATGCTCGAGATAACCATCACCTTTTATTTTCAATCACTCTATACTGCCTTCTTTTGTGAGTTTTATTTTCATTTTTACTCTCTGTCACCTCATACCAGAAATTCTTTTTAAAAAGCACTTTACTGAGGTGTTTGGCATATAAAAAAGGTATACATATTTAATGTATATAACCTAATGGGTTTGAAGATGATCATACACTTATGGAGCCATCAATAAAATTAAGGCCATTAACATTCATCACTACCCAGTATTTCCTCCTACCCTCTTTAGTAATTTTTATTCAGAAAAAATTTGTTCACTAAGGATGTGTAACACAGGATCTATCCTCTTAGCAAACTGTTGGGTGTGAAGCCGAGAGATTATTGTTAAGCATAAACCCTATGTTGTGTAACAGATCTCCATAAACTTTTGATCTTGTACTGCTAAAACTTTGTACTCTATAAACTATCCTTTCCCTTTATCCCCTCCTCCTAGTCCCTGGTAATCACTACTCTAGTCTGCTTCTGAGTTTGAACATTTTAGATGCTTCATAAGAAGGGGATTGTGGCTTTGCTTGTTACCAGATTCCCTGGAGTGTCACAGGCACAGCAGTCTGCCATTGCTCTTTGAGTGGCCTGGCTTTGGCTCCTGTGCACTCTCTGAACTGAATAAGAAGCAGAACCAGGCAGGCTATGACCTGCTCCCACGGCCACGGTTCCCAGCTGAAACTCGTGGAGAGAGCCAGGTATTTCCCATCTACTTCCTAGGGGCACAGCGGGAAACCCAGGACCCTGCTGCTATTACAGTCTGAGTCTCTGCCCTCTGGGCACCCCTGGCAGACAGGAGGTCCTCACTCAGAAGGCAGGGGGAGTGCTCTCACCAGGGTTTACGTGTGGGCCCTCCATGTGCAGGCCCTGTGCCAAGTGAGTAGGTGTTCCAAGAGTTGCTGATCCTGGAGTTCAAGTAGGTGCTTCACTTGTGCCTGGACACCCTGGGGGGTCACAGACGCAGATAGTCTGTGATTGCTATAGTCCAGCCCGCATCTAGTTCCTGTATGTGTCCTGAACTGACTGGAGACACAGAATCAGGTGATTTACAATCTGTCGACCTGCAGTTCGTGTGTGGCTTTTGCCTGCACCCTGAACTGTGTGGGGATATAGGTCCATAGGACCAGGATTGTCACACCAGTGCAACCCTAGTCTGGGCTCTGCACGTGTCCTGAACTGCAAGGTGACGCTGGATCAGATGGTCTGCCATCAGCTGACACCAATGCCCGCATCTGAGACCTGGGATAACTAGATACAAATCAACAACTGCCAGAAAACCCCTGACTAAGTAGTACTTCTCAGTGGACACTAAGGGGCAAACTTGACCAACAAGAAAACTAAAAATATTAGCAGCCTTTGCTGTGCAGCCATTGAAGGGGGAAACTGAGCTTTCTGCATTTGGTATCAAACATGACAAAAGGAAGGACTAAAACACAATCCCAGGACTCCACACCACCCAGAACAAGTCCAGGAGACATCAACATAGGAGAACTTGGTAAACACATGCCTGAAATAGCTGAAATGATTGCAGTGGAAATAAAGAAACAACTCCATAAGGCCATAGAAGAGATGAGATCAGAAATAATCTTTCAGGCAAAAAATGAGATGACAATAATAAAGAAAGAACTGCTCAAAATGTCTGTAAAAGAAACATATGAGAAAATAGAAGAACAAAGGCAATAGATGGAAGCCTTAATTGAAAAATATAGAAAGGACTTAGAACACATAAACCAGATTCAAAGAGACTTCCAAGAAAACAAAGCTTTCATTGAAAGCTGCCAAAACCGCTTGACTGAAGCTGAAAATAGAATTTCAGATTTTGAAGACAGCATGGCAGCTAGCAACTGTGAAAGAAAGGATCTCGTAAAATCAACAAAGACCCAGGAAAGATCCATTCAACAGCTACAAGACGAGGAAAAGAGGAATAATGTATGACTTGTAGGAGTCAATGAAACAGCAGGAGAGAACACAACTGACATAAAAAGAATATTTGCAGAAATAAGAGCAGAAAATTTCCCAAGTATGGAAACAGAACCTGATATCCAGGTAAATGAGGCATATAGCTCTCCAACCAACCACAACCAAAATAAAACTACACCCAGACATGTAACAGTCAAATTACTAGATCTCCAGCCAAAGAACAGAATATTAAAAGCTGCTA